AACAATGGACTTGTGAAAAGGCCCCTGAAATAATCAGGTCTTCACTTTAAGTTTTCATTTAGTGATGAGTGATTTTTTGCTAGAAAAAGAGTAGGAGAAATAACATGCAAGTGTCTCAGAGCCGGCAAAAGCTATGAAAAGAGTGATACTTTATCTCACAGAGTATGACGCAGCCTGCAGAAGTGACATGCATGGTTGTTGTCACCACTAGAATTACCTACTGTAGCCAAAGCCAAATAAACTCATTTAACCTCTTCCAGGGCCCATATTTACAAAATAGAGACTTCTGGGAATCCATACTCTGGTCTCAAGAGACCAAGTCAATCATTTCGGATCTAACAGCATCCAAAATGTTCTGGTGTTGCTAGAGGAGGAGTACAGTGAGAAGTGCCTGGTTCCCACAGTGACGTTCAGTGGTAGTAAAGCTTTTATATAGGGATGGATGAGTGCTGAAGGTGTGAGGGAGTTGTGCTTTATCAATGCTGGCATGAATTCACACACTACTGTGTGATGTAATCCAAAAACTTGAAACAGAAGATGCTACCCTCCCCTCATTACCTGCATTATTGGGCATTTTTTCAGCATGACAATGAATATATTCATTCTCCCAAGGTGAAAATCCTTCAGTAGACATGTATTTCACTCAATCTTAACACTCTTGAGCAGCTGTGGGGGATTATGTAGAGACGAGCTGAGCAAAACTCCCCATTAAAGATCAGAGCATTTAACGAGGTCGTCCAGGAGTTAAACAGCACAGATGTGAAAATGTGTCATGAACTTGTACACTCAGTGCCAAGAAGTGTCAGAGCAGTATACTTTAAGTTCTGGAGGACATACTAAGTACTAGAATATTATACATTTTCTGAATTAAATCTAGGGTGTACTCATTTCTGTTTGTTTTTATTAAGTATATGTTTAATATGTCTCCATTTTGCCATCTTTCCATGAATTATATTAATTATATTAGTGATCATTAAGAAAATACATCTTTTATATTTAATATATATATACACACACACACACACACACACACACACACACACACACACACACACACATACATACAGTATAATATACTAAACTTATTCTTAGCAGGGCTCACAAACTCGCTAGCCTGATGTCCCGGGGCTATTGTGTTTTCCAGTCGGGCTACCAAAATGTATCACCACTCTGCCCGACGGGCTATCTTAAATGCAGATCTCCCGCGGGTCCTTAAAAACCTCATAAAGTGAGTTGTATCAAACTTAAGGCCATAAGTTTTAAATATGTTAAATGGTATAAGAAATGTCTTAATTATTATTTCAAGAGGTCTTACAGTTGGGGACGGTTAGGATTTAAGATTAAACTTCAAAAGGCAAAAATGTCATTGAATAAATATGAGCGCTACACGTTTCAAGTCAAAACGCGGCGCGGATGTCTTTATTTGAATGTATCTAAAGGGAACCGACTGTCCTCAGAAACGTGTGGTTGGCATTTTAATTTCATTTTCCTGATAAAGCAGCGTTTATGAGCTCGGAGCTGCTTTGTGTACAGCCGTTACGGGGAAACCGCAATATTTCAGCGCTCCTAAAGCGCCACCTCGTGGCAGAGAATGAATTTGCATTTCCAATACGCCTTTCTTTGTGATTATGGTCAGATCAATGCAAATATCAACTCATGTTTTTACGCAGCAAACACAGAGTTGTAAATGAGAAAGAAGTTAATGTGCCTTCTAAAAATCTAAACAATTAAGACAGTAATATTTACACGTTTTAAATTGACAGTTTATATGCTTGATTTATCCCTTTTCATAAAAATGGTCTAAAGGCTGAAATGCTGTTGTATAAGATTTTTGTTTTTGTGATTGATATAATTTATATGCTTGATTTATCCCTTTTCATAAAAATGGTCTAAAGGCTGAAATGCTGTTGTATAAGATTTGTTTTTGTAAAAACCTGTATCTGAACTGTAAATCATATAATTTTATGGCTCAGTACTGTATGTTACCACAGACATTGTCCAACCCCACTCATACTGTGTTCATTTTACTTGTGCAGCTCTTAAAGGGGTCATATGATGTTGCTAAAAAGAACATTATTTTGTGTATTTGGTTCCTTCCTTCATATTTGTGTATTTAAAATATTTTTGATTGACATTTAAACTCCTATCTGATTTTCTATATTTAAAAAAAAAAGGTATTTTTTTATTTGGGCTAGTTAAATTAATTTTCGGGCTACCAAAATCTGAAGAGTACCTGCCTGAAGGGCTACCAGGGATTTTGAAATTTTGCGAGCCCTGCTTAGCCTCTAACTCAAACAATGGTGAAGTAACATCTAACAATAGCCAGTGGCTAAAGATAGACATTTATTCGCCTAGCTTAAAAATTTAGTTGAGTGAATTACTCTCATTGTAGAAAGTTGGGTTAAAAGCATTGAGTGGACAAATACATATTTAATAGATGCCAGTTAATGCATTTAGTATTGCTGTTTGACACTTTAATGATTTATTAACATTTTCCTCAGACTTGGAAGTTAGTGCTTTTATGACTGTACAAAACAGTGCTGTACAAAACTATTTAATGAGGCAGGCATTATTTTGATTGGTTGTCGGTTGCTAAACTTGTAACTTGTTGTTTCACTGTGTTGTGACTGTGTTGTTTCACACTCTATAGCTTTTTCACTGTGATATGGTGGGCATTACCTGTTCTGGAGAAGATGTTATAATACAACACCCATAAAATTGATTGCCGTTTCACAATTGCAAGTGTGAAACATTGTTTAACGTAGTGCTGGGTGGTATACCGGTTCATACCGAATACCGGTGTTTATTTTTGTTATGATATGGATTTTAAAAATACCGCAATACCGGTGTATGTCGCTTAAAGTTCGGAACGCGACACTGTTTGAAAGGGGTCCCTTTTCACTGTTGCACTGTGGTGAGGGAACAGCTGTATGTGTTAGCGTGAAAGAAAATTACGAAACTGAAGCTGTAGAACTAATAGAACATGATGACACAGAAGAACTCATCCACAATATCCACATTGACCGCCACAAATATCCACCGCCCCCTGCCATCAGCTCCCGCGTCTCACACAATCACGAGCTCGACTTTAGCACTAGATTTAGCAACTTTCACACCCTTTTAGCGGCTTTTTCCATAGAATATTGATATTGAATATACCTAGCGACTTTTTTGGATAAACCTTAGCTATGGCTCAGTTGGAAGATTTCACCAGTGCTGTCCCGCGAACGCGAGGTCTGACTTTCCCGGAGAAGTGTCACCTCTCTCGGCGTCTGTTCTGTGCAGTGAGCGGCAGAGAAGCAACGCATTCAGTTGGCCGCACCGCAGCCGACTCGTCAATAAATGAGTAAAAAAACAGCGTTTCCTAGCACCTGTCGCTTACTGATTGTTTAGAATTATAAATATGAGCGTAGTTCGTCTGTTAATATCACATGCACTTTTTTGTTTGTTGTTTTTTTTAAGTTTGTTACTCAGACGCAGGCAGTGCGCTGCATGAGACAAAAAAGTAATATAGCCAAAACAACCGCATAGTGCATCTTTAGTGTAGATGCATGTTGATTTTATCAGACGATGCCGCGATTATAAATGAGAGTGACTCCTGGTTAACATGTATTAAAAGGGGTCATGTTTAGTCACTATTTAGTGTGGTATTTTTTGACAATATTCACTCATCATGACAGTAAAATAGGGCATTCTAAGTCAATATGCTGCAGTATTTCCTCTCTCAATCAGTAGAAAATATGGTTAACACCCGGTCATGCATGAAAAAAAAAAATACTGTCATGTACCGTGAAACCGATATAATTTTGAAAAATACCGTGATATACATTTTTGGTCATACCGCCCAGCACTAGTTTAACGTCTTCATGAAATTAAAAATCATGTGTTGTATACTGTATGTATAATTTTTTTTTTGTTTGTTTTAGTTTAGTTCATAATTTTTTTAATCCAAATGTCAGACAGAGTTCATGGTAACGTATGATTGGAGAAGATCTGCCAATCATTTAGTCCTCTTAAACCTCGCCCCTGCAAACTCTCATTCATGTGCCTCTAATTTTGAGTGCAACGCCCACATCTCAAAATCCAATGAAAAACTAATGCACAGAGCCAAGTCCTCACCCTACATTTTTTCTTTTTCAGTAATCTGTTTCACTTGGATGTGCATCACAATATGGAAAAGATCTGTCACTTCCAATTCTATGCTACTTTTTGGACGTTCAGTGTAGTGTGAAATGCCTTGATCCACTGAGTAGTAGTTTAGTTGTAATAGGACAGTTAAACATCTACAGCTGGTTTCCAACAGAACCCTGGAATGGACACTCTTCTCGTGTCTCCTAATGAGCAAATATCCACCTCTGACCTGCCTGTCACTGTGAGACCAGCCTGCAGGCCTGGATACCCAGATAAGCAGACAGATCCATTCTGCTATTTTAGAACGAAGTGGAGGTTTGGTAGAAGGGTTGGTATTTCCTGCTATTGTCTGAAAGACATGTCAGTGTGGACCGCTGCCGTGTGGACACATGCAATGGTCGGCTGAAGGACAGTGGCACACTAGTTTCCCTCTTATTTTGAGCGGTTTATAGCAACTGGTCTTTCCTTGCCTACTAAGGTCTTTCAGTTTTTCTTCAGTTTAAGCTGTTAAATGTATTTTTATTTCACATTTTATGAATTATGTGAGTGGCGTGCAACAGTTTACAGTGTGTGGTTAACGCTGGCAATCACAGTTTCTTTATTTATTTGTTTATATGCCTAAGACCAGGCAGCAGAGCGTTAATTAGATGTGGAATGTGGGAATTTCATCAAACAATTCCTCCCGTGACGAGGTGGCAACACACACATACATAAAATGAATAGGGAGTTTTGTTTTCCATTGTGTTGTCAAGTTGTTGGTGACTTGTTTAAATTACTCGTCCAAAGCATTGTGGTGTTATTGATCAGATCTTTTTCCTTGATCAGTTGCTAACAGTGTGCTCTTCTTTAATACATTTGTGTCTCTGCAGGAACAAAGGACTGCGGTAAAAGTGGGAACTGTACCATGTTTAAGGGAGTGCTGAAGAAAGGGCGAGAGGGAGGAGGAAGAACTGGCAAAAGAGACACAGGTAAGCTGCTTTTGTTCCCAGAAGGAAGGAAAATTATATTAATAAACTGTTGCTGAAACCTTTTGAACTGTACTTTGCTGTTGTGTGTATGCTTAATTTAATTGCATAATTGGCTTATGGCCTCCAAAGAGATTTATAGAGCTGACTGGGATTGGCCAAATGAGATTTAGTTTTTTTTTTTCTTTATTCCAGCTCAGGCTGTGACTTGTCATTGAAAATGATCTGAAATGATAATTTCACAATCGTATTAAATGATTTTATAGAATAATAGTCACCCAAATGTGTGTGTATGTATGTATGTACCCAGCAGGCACACAACGTCATAAGCCGTTGATATTTGGTAAAATTTTGGTTGTGACGTCGGGTGACCAAAATTCAATGTAAATTCAACGTCTAATGTTAAATTGATGTCCAATTCCGACGTCAGCTGACATTGATATTTTGTTGTTTTTAGGTTGTGTAACCAAAATCCATTAAGTCAACATCAAATTGACATCCAATATTGATCTTGATATATTAAATCTCCCAGTACAGTTTTCAGCCTATTTGCCAAAACTTTGGCTATTAGCTTATAATCAGTTGTTAAAAGTGACACAGGCCTCCAGTTTTTAAGAACACTCAAGTCACCCTTTTTTGGTAATAGTGTTAATACTGCCCTTTGGCAACTTGTGGGAAGGCATTTTTCTTTAAACCATTCTTGGATCACCTCATGAAAGTCTTTTCCAATGTACTTCCAAACAGCTTTATAAAAGTCTGCTGATAGTCCATCAATTCTAGGTGCTGGAATTGATGAATTGAAACAATTAAAATTTCTCATGAAAACCTTTCTCTTTCAACAATGCAACATTAAATGTCCAGTAAGGACTTTTGAATTTGGATTGTCTCAAAACAATATTGACTGTAATAAAATGGTGATCTGATAGACAACATGGAAAAATATTACACCCATTATTCTATTATTTTCAGCACGCTTGACATAAAACCTGTCAAGTCTTGCTACACTTATCATTCCCTGTGAAACTTTTGTCCATGTATATTGTTTCATCTCTTTACTCCTGTCTCGCCATACATCTACCAAATCATTCTGAATTGTAATACTTTTTAAGAAAGAAGCCGATACAGGATGTGGTTCCACATTATTTCTATCTAAAAGAAAATTAAGGGTACAATTCCAATCCCCACCAACAATTAAAAACCCATCCAAAGTATAACTTTTTAAAAATTCTCCTAACTTTCTAAACATGAAGATTCTATCTGATCCTTTATTTGGAACATAAATATTTATGAAAACAAATAACTGATTATCAATTTTAACTTTCACCATTAAAATACATCCTTTCTCTATTTCCATTTCTGATAAAATATTGACATTTAAGGTGAGTTGAAAAATAAAATCGCTACACCTGCACTGACATTTGTGCCATGGCTTAAACAATTTTTTCCTTCCCACCACAGGTTTAACTCTGATTCATTTTTTATGTCGCTATGAGTTTCTTGTAAAAATGTTACTTCAGTATCTTTAAGCCTAAGAAATTCAGATAGTAAAGCTCTTTTCCCCCCATCCCTCAACCCATTCACATTTAAAGATCCTAATCTAAGAATCTGCATTGCAGGGGAGAGAGAAAGGAAACACAAAAAATGACAGAAAAGCAAAACAAAAATAAAGATAGATTCCACACCCATGTGCTTTATTTTTTCCATTTTGACAATTTTACATGATCTTTTTGAGCTCTACGTGCAATTGTTAGAAACTTTCTCAGCCAAAATCTTTTTTGTTTTGAAATGACGTCATAGCCAACCGTCTTCTGAGCGATCACCACTGATTTAACAAATTTATTAACATCGGGGAAGAAATTTACAACATCAACCTTTTTCCCTTTAGTTAAATCCAGAAGCTCATTTAATTCCTCGACAGAATAAACGTCATCCAAAGACTGACTGCAATCAATCTCTGAAAACTCAGAACAATTATCACAATACTCCATCAGTTCTTCTTCGCTATTTTCATTCTCCATAGACGCATTAGACTGTGACCTGCTTAGACTCGGAACCACATCGCTATAAACACGTTCATTATCCTTAACAGCAACAACATCATCCTTCAAAACATTCGGGCTAACAGCATTATCACCAGCTTGCATAGATGAAATAAACTCGCTCACCTCTAACTTTGAACTTTGATCTATAGCACTTTGCTCGGCTGAAGAACCGGCCTGGGGAACAACGCTGGGTTCACCTGCCGAAGCCGAAGCCTCCGAATCATCATCATTAACCCCATTTGTCTTCTGTTTTTTTTTCTGGAATCATTACATCCTTTACAGCTATAGGCCGTTTTCCTTTATCTGGACTTTCGTTATTTTTGCTTTGATCGGTTTGCTCATCATTATTTCTGCCGTTCTTTTCATTTTCTGATTGTTTCTTATGCGGACACGTGAACTTCTTATGTCCCAAATCACCACATTCAAAACAACGCAAACTATCTGTCGTTGCAAAAATCATATAGGAACAGTCACCGTGTTGAATGGGAAACGAAATATCCAAAGACTCAGATTGCACATTTAAAAACATGAAAACTTGTCTTCGAAAAGACAGCACATGTTTTAAAACTGCGTTTTTACACCCGAGCGGAACCATCTTAATGGATCCAGCAAACTTTCCAAAGCGACTCAGTTCTTTTAGAATTTGCTCATTAGAAATGAATGGAGGCGCGTTTGAAATGGTGACCTTAGTAGCAGGTGCACGCAAAGGCATTACTTGCAGTAGGGTGTCGGAAACAACAATTCCTTTTTCAACAAGGCTGTTTACGAGTTTCTCATCTTTAAGAAACACCACCACAGCCTTGTTCATTCTGGAGGCCGATACTATATTTTTGTGCCCTACAAACTCGCCGATTGCTAGAAGTACGTCTTCTACCATAACCGCTTGATCCGAGAAAACTTTACAGCCATTCCTGATAGAGAACCCCGGCGTTCCTTCACTTGAGAGAGACGCCATGGCTTCCCTTATCAAGGAAGGATTCACACCGGTGTTTTTCTTAAACTAAAAAAATAAACCAAAACGTGATAAATTAAATTCCCCCCTAAAAAAAAAACATAAATAGAAAAAAAGAATTTAACCTTGAAAACCAATTCAAGCGTGCCGCTCTCACACCCCACTTCCGCTCCCAGCATGCAATCCACACACACACAGAGAGAGACAGAGACAGAGACAGAGAGAGAGAGAGAGAGAGAGA